CACCTGGATATTAGGGAAAACGTTTTTACAGTATGAGTAGTGCAACAGTGGAATCAGCTGCCTCGGGAAGTGGTGAGCTTGCCCTCACTGGCAGTCTTTGAACAGGGGCTGGACAAACACTTGTCAGGGATGCTCTAGGCTGGTCCTGCACTGAGCAGGGGTTTGGACTAGAGGGCCTCTATGGCCCCTTCCAACTCTGTTTGGTGCCAGTGGTTAAGCGCGCGGACTCTAATCTGGGAGAACCGGGTTTGATTCCCCACTCCTCCACTTGCACCTGCTGATGTGACCTTGGGTCAGTCACAAGCTCTGGCACAGCTGTCCTTGAAAAAGAGCAGTTTGTGTCAGAGTTCTCTCAGCCCCACCCACCTCACAGGGTGTCTGTTGTGGGGAGGGGAAGGGAAAGGAGTTTGTAAGCCGCTCTGAGACTCCAAGTGAAGGGTGGGGTATAAATCCAATCTCTTCTCCTCTCTTCTCTCTGTGATTCTATGACCCCTAAAAAATAATCTTGCTGCAGAGCTGAGCCATAATATTTTTGACCCACTGATGCATTCACAGATGAACTCTGGTCTTGGTTCAGACGTGACTGTGGTTTATTTTCATTAGAGTTAGTTGGTAACATCAAGATTCAGCTCACAGACAACCATTCAAGTCTTGCAATAATGCCTTGACATACGCTGGTTTCTCCACATCCCCCCTACAGACATAACTGCTGGTATCTCGGCCTACACTATAGCAAGAGCAGTGCCGGAGAAAGTCAGAATTGTCCAAATCCATAATCCATAACAACAATAATAGTGTGCCATCAAGTCACAAGTGACTCATGGTGACCCCAGGACCATGGGGTTTTCATGAGTATGAGAGACCAAAGGAAACAGGACCATGGGGTTTTCATGGCAAGAGACAAGCGGAGGTGATTTGCTTGCTTCTGCCTTCCTCTACATAGCAATCATGGTCTTCCTTAGTTTTCTCCCATCCAAGCACTAACCGCGGCCTACCCCACTTAGCATACAAGCTCTGACACAATCAGACTAAGCTGGACTATCAGGCCGCTCTGCATTCCTAACATCATGCAAAACCATAGTCAAGACCAGCTGCAGTTAGTTAATTTCAACCCACAGTTTCAAATCCTGGTTTCACAGTCCCTAACCGACCACAGTCAGTGGAACAGGTCGTATTTGGACAACCACAGAACCCATATTTAGTGTCATTAAACTAGCAATGTAGCAGCCTGAATAGCCCAGTTTGGCCTGGGCTCGTCAGGGCTTGGGAGCTAAGCGGGGGTCAATCATGGTCAGTAGTTGGATGGGAGGTTGCTGTGTAGAAGAAGGCAAGGGCAAAGCACTTCACCTGTTGCTTTGCACACCCCATGGTTGGGGAACACAACAAGTCAGTTGTGACTCAACGGCACATTCTTCTTCTTCTTCTTCTTCTTCTTCTCCTTCTTCTCCTCCTCCTTCTCCTTCCCTCTTCCCCCCTCTTCCTCTTCTTCTTCCCTCTTTCCTCTTCTTCTTCTTGCAATGTCTGAATGCTTTGCACACCCCATGGTTGGGGAACACTACAAGCCAGTTGTGACTCAATGGCACATTCTTCTTCATCATCATGCAATGTCTGACCCTGATCTAGAAGATCCAGTCATTTCAGGGATCCAGTGCACAGGCTCATTCACTTGTAATAGCAGGAAGAACTCTAGTTGCCCCAAATATTACTGCAAACAGGAAAGTACGCAGATTTAAGTGTTCAGGGGATGAATCATAGCTCTGGTGTTTTCCAGCTTCCCAGGATGTGGATTTCAGGTTTACAACTAGAACCGTCATCAGTTGCCAGTTATCAAAGCAACGGAGGTTTCGGGGATCAGTCTGTACAAATACGCTGATTGTGCAGTCCGGGTTTCAGAATATAAAAATGCGGGGAAAGGCCGGCTCAACTAGCTGTTTTCAGTCAGTTTATTCCATATGCAAGATCAACAGAGCACTTGATGGCTTAGCAAGCTTACCAGCAGCATCAGCATGAACGATCCCATGTATATGACCAAGAAAAAAAATGAAATCATAGCTAAGGTTAAAATCCCACGAATCCACCAATTCTTCCATCTGCAAAGGCAAAAACATAAAATACAGCATTATAATTATTTGCTTTCTCATAATGAAGGGGCTGGATCCTATGGTCTGTTCCCATGAGTAAGAGCACTGCCACTGGATAGGGAGTGTGATTACTGCAGATCCCCCCCTCCACATCATGTCCAGAATGGTTTGGGGAGGGGAGGTAAACCTTACAGACAGTATTTCAGGGGTGCAGAGAGCTACAGCGGAAAAGGGGAAGTTGCATTCCTTGACAATCAATGACTCTAACCCACCAGGAGCGCTTGTTGAGAAAATTAAGAATCAGAGCTAGTCTACAACTATAGACAATGATGGAAATTACTGTGAACATAGGAATGCTATATATGCATTATTTTAACTACTCTTCACTAATTCTAAAATCAATTCAGTTTCCAGGTAAGACTACTATACAGTTTTATGTTTAGTAGAAAGGTTTCATACCGTGAAGGGAATGAGAAAACGATATACTACTAAAATGATATAAACAAGATGCTTCAAAGTTTTTCTCAAGGGTCAGCATCTGCAAATGCCTGGTATTTAACTAAATTTAAAAACACCTATCTGCCTTCAAATGGTTGCCTGAAAATAGCTCCCAATAATTGATGAATAGAGCTCCAAGCAACAGAGTCCTAAAACAAAGTATTGGTTTGCATGCAGTCTATTTTTGCAAAGATGATTAAGTTTAGAGTAATTCCTATACAGATGCATTATTAATTTTACTAGGAAAAAAGCTCGTTGTGGAAATAAATACAACAATCTCTAGAAAGAGACTCTGGGCGGGTGCCCCAGCCTTGGACACTCAGTGTCAATTTACTGTGGCGACCTCAGCAGGGTATAATGACACTGAGTCCACCATTTTCTCCAGAGGAACTGATCTCTGCTATCTAAAGAACAGTTGTAATTTTGAGTGATCTCCAGCCCTCACCTGGAGATTGGCAATGATGGTTCCCCAGAAGGGAATGGTTGGTTTGGAGGGTGGAGTCTATGGCTTTGTACCTGTCCGAGGTCCCACGCCTCCTGAAACCTCACCCTCTCCAGGCTCCATCCCTCACATCTTCAGGAATTTCCCACCTAGAGTTGGCAACCCTATCTCCTTCCCAGCCAATCATCAGCCTACCTTTATTTTCCCCTCACTCTTCAGCTTTCCACCTCCCACACACCTGCAGTTTCTCCCGTGCTCTGAAGCCCTGACTGCTACGTCACATTGGCTGTCATACGGGGGCCACCTCAGCAGCATATAAGGATACAGAGCCCACCATTTTCTCCAGGGGAACTGATCTCTGCCATCTGGAAAGCAGTTGTAATTCTGAGTGATCTCCAGCCCTCACCTGGAGATTGGACACATTTTACCTCAGAACAGCAAACTGTTTAGAATGTTAGAGGCAAAAGCCAATCAAGTAGCATATGCAAACGACCTCTGTGTTCCGAGGCAAAGGCCAATGAGGCTGTGTATGCAAATTGTTCTGACTGGCTATGGGGGGGAGAGAAACAGCAAACTGTTTAGAATGTTGGAGGCGAGACTCAAGCAATGCAGCCAGTGGATAGGGACAGGTTCTGAGTGACCAATTCCGGAGCGTGTAGAATGTTCTAGAGAAGTGCCACCACCATTCGGCTTTTATATATAAGGGAGATTCTTCCAATACCTGGAAGACAAGCCAGATAAGGCTTTTCTAAAAATTTCTGGAGTTCTGTCTGTTGGCGGAGGAACTTCAGGAACATCGGCATCGCTTCTGAGGTCGAGCTCTCCAAACCCATCCTCTCCATCCACATCCTAGAACAGAAAATACAAATTGTGAAGGCTTAGGAAGCCAAGCACACCAACCAGAATATGTATTACATATCATAAGCATTCTTGCAATAAAGCCGCACTGGCAGCTTGGCCTTACTGCAACAGACACAGATGTAGAAAGCAGCTGGAACACAGCAACCAGCTTATGAGGGGTGACACACAACTCAAAAACTTCACCTTGCCTCCCACAAATCAATATTTCATAAGCATCATTTTTCAAACATCAGAAAGTTCTAAAGTTTGGGAACATGGCTCTAAACTACTTTTCACACAGACTGACACCATGCACTGAGCCTGGATATAGCAAAATATTTAACTGAAACATTCTCAAAACCTGGCTTCCCAATCTCAATGTACATATATGTACCTAATTCAGCTTGTACACACAATGGAAATCCCAGGCCACTGGGCATGTACAGATTGTCTTCCAGCTCAAACTCATGCAGTCCTAACCAGACTGTCCTTGACCCACCAAGGATACAGAAGGAGGAGGAGGAGATTGGATTTATACCCCACCCTTCACTCAGAGTCTCAGAGCGGCTTACAAACTCCTTTCCCTTCCCCTCCCCACAACAGGCACCCTGTGAGGTAGGTGGGGCTGAGAGAGCTCTGACAGAAACTGTTCTTTTCAAGAACACATCTGACAGAACTATGGCTTGCCCAAGGTCATCCAGCCAGGGGTAAGTGGAGGAGTGGGGAATCAAGCCCAGTTCTCCCAGATTAGAGTCCATGCACTTAACCACAACACCATTCAGTTATTTCTAGGCAACCAGCATTCTTTATTCTAAACTTTCTCCCTAATGGTAAACAAAGCATGGCTTGAGAGCATGGCTACAGCAGCACTGACATAGGCAGGCAGAGCAGGACAACTCAAACAGCACAAACTTATGTTCAAAATGTGGAAACTTGTTTATCGTAAAAATAAAACTAGAAATGTTCCTGGAATTTTAAAAAGGTAACATAATAAGAAAAAAAAATGTAAGTATTCCTATAGTGACTAGTGCCTAGACCAGTCAACGGGGAAAGTCTTTTGTTGTTGTTGTTGATGGTGATGATGATGAAAAACAGCAACAGAAATTTGGGAGGGAAACTGAATTATATGCAATGCTAACATTTCACTTATATCCAATACTTACTTTTCAATACTTAAACTTCTTTTACTAATTTAACAACATAAAATACATTTATAAATTTTCCAAAAATATAAGAAAAATGTAAGAAAAATTGCAAGTATACTCAGTACTTAAGAAAGAGTTGCAAACTGCAATACCCTATTCCAGGATTTCCCAACCTAGCTATGGAGTCTGTTCCCCCCGCCCCCTTGCCCCCCCCCCCCCACAAGCCTCTATGGCTCTGTACATCTCTAATCTAACAATCCCACTTTATCGGCGGGTTTTTATGCTAGCGAGATTCAATCTTTTCCCCTCAGCTGTTGTTTTAGGCAGATATAGGGGTATCCCCTATAGGGACAGAACCTGCAATTGTCTCTATAGTGAACCTGATTCAGTTGCTCATATCCTTCTACGTTGTCCTCAATATTCTACTATGCATAGCTATCTGATTAGTCCCCAACTTACCTACCACAAAGAACCCGACTGACAATGATCTTAAATTTTTATTGTCTGATAAGTCCCCGGCAATTACTTTGTCTGTTGCCGAATTCTTAGCCTGTGTTTGGAAGCTTAGGGTAGGGGCGTACAAGCCTTAACCCCCTTGTATTTTTTAGAATTGCTATATTCTCAACTGAGGCTATTGTTTCCGAGAAGTTTATAAAAACGATTCCTTGTTGGTGCAGCATGGTGTAAATTGTTATAATCCATTACTTCGTGCTATTTATTTTCTATTTGTTTCATTGTTCTCTTTGCTGCTGTGTTATGCCAATAAAGGTCTATGTATGTATGAGTTCCCAACCTTCTGACACACGGGGGCCACATTAGAGTGCCCAGTGCCTAAAGAGGGCCAGATCTTAAGTGAAAATGTAACAGAATTATTAACCTACCTATTTAGATCAAAAGTAAACATTCAGAGGTCAATGAAGAAATGTTAACTTGAACACAATCCATTTTGGAACAATATTTTACTGTGGAATCCTTTTATCTAGCTACACATGCTTACGTAAGTGTGATTTTTTTGTGGCTATTTTCTGTTAGCCAAGGCATTAATGTCCAAGGTTTGTGACAGACACCCTTAAAACGTCATGTAAACGTTCATCTGTAAGTCTTGACCTACACTTGAATTTCACAATTTTCATCTTGGAAAAAGTTTATTCATAGATGTAAGTGGTGCCAAAGACCGTGGACATGCCTGCAGGTTGATAAATATATCAGGTAGACCAGAACACAAATCTAACAGACTATTTTCTTTGTCAATGTCTCTGAGATGATCACTGGCTTGCAAATCAATTAGTTCTATCTGAAAAAAGTTACTTGCATCTTCCAGTGCTACTTCAAATGGATTCTGAAACATTCTTATTTCCGTTTCATGCTTATGGCAATCAGTACATCTGTTCTCGAATTCCACCTACAATAGGTTAAATGCTATGATGTGTCTTTCAACACTGAATTGTAAATTTCTGTCCTTAAATTTTAGTCCATTACAGAATGAGAAGTTTGAAAAGTTACCTTCACTACCATGCTTCACAAGAAATGTTTAGTTTTGTTTCAAAAGCTTTTAAATTCAGAATTCAATTAAGAATGCAAAAGCTTTCAATTAAAAAGCTTTCAGTTCAGAATCCCCTGCAACCTTAGATTCAGTATGTTCAGCTGCTCTGTAATATCAGTTAAGAAAGACGAATCAAAAATCCATTCAGGGTCAGAAAGTACTTCTTGACCTTTCCTTTATTCTTGAGAAAGATATCAACTTCATGAAGACTGGAAAAACATTTGAGGACTTTGCCTCTGCTAAGCCACCAGACTTCTCCATATTCTGCATCTATCTCTAATGTAATTAATACTGAATACAACAATACACATCATACGTTCCCACTACGCAAGGTTTGCTGATGGAAGATGCAGTGAAATTGCATGGGAAGTGTATCGTGAATCTCTCTTCACTGATTTTTGTAACTACGCCACTTTTACTTCCCATCATACTTTCTGCACTATCAATTGTGATGCTTTTCGATTTATCCCAGCTCAAACCAAGATTTTCTACTGATTTACACACCTTCAAGAATATGTTTTCTGCAACTGTAGTGCCTTTCAAACTCTGCAGTACACACAACTGTTCTGTAATTCTGAAGTTGGAATCTATCCCACTGATAAAAATTAGTAGTTGAGCAGTGTCTATAATGTCATTGCTTTCATTCAATGCCAAAGGGGGGGGGATCAAAACTTTTTGCCTTGATAATCAGTGACACACGGATCTTTTCTCCTAGTTCTTCAACATGCCTGGTGATTGCAGATGCAAATAAACTGACACAACTAACGCAAGATACCTTATCAGGGCACATTTCTTCCATTACTTTAACTATGCACTTTTTAACAAATTCGCCATCAGTGAATGCTCTACCACTCTCAGCAATACATTTAGTAACATGATAGCTGGCCCTCACAGTAGACAGGCTCTCCTCAATGTGCTTTGTAAAACTATTTTGCTGCAAAAATATTGATTTTTAAGAGACTTTATCTTGTTCACTCGGACCTCTCCTTGATATATTGAGTAGCTCTTGTGACAGGGTTAGAAGTGCCTTTTTAACATCATACTCCTTCAATATTGAGACAGTTTCAAGACATATCAGGCAAAATGCTTTATCCTTGTTTAAAACAAAGAAGTACTCAGTAGTCCATTTGTCATTAAAGACACAGTGCTCATCTGCAATTTTTCGTTTCTTTGGAACAGCACTTTCTTTTGCAGATATCTTCTTACAGAATTTTTAGCAGAACAGCAGTTGAAGAGTTTCAATATAATCCTTGAATAAAATATGAGAAGTATACTTTTAGGGGCCTAACTCTTCCCTTTCCCATCAAATCCAACCCACTCTAGCTGCTACTAGCTGGTGATTTTCATTTTGACCATGGCAAAGAAAAGAAGAGACCCCTGCCTCCCTATCCACTACAGTTCTTCCCATATTCATGCACAGGCTGGGAAGAATTTTTTAAAAAGGGATTATGAATCTGACCTACCAGGTGGCAGAGTTGCAATCCTAAGTACATACTATGAAATTTATTTCTTAATAAACACACTGCCTTGAGGTTTAAATCTACACATGCTAATACTTGAAAAATTGGGGACCCTCCAAAAAAGAGCAGGTAGAAAGAAAGAGCAAATGAAAGGGCAGCCTCCCACCTGGAGCAGAGGATATGCCGTTAAATTGGCTTCAAATTATATGCAGGGGTCACATGCACAACTGCCTGCCAGCCAAGCCTCAATCATGAGAAGCAAAATGGCAGCCAGGGGGAGGGGAACTTGGCTGGAGGAAGATGTGCAAAGGGGAATCCCATAAGCTTCCCTGCTGAGAGAGTACTCCTTCCCTCTCAACCCAGATGCATAAGAAGAAGAGCTGGAGTGGGCGGGGGAGGAGGGGCAGAAGTAGGCAAGGCAAGTAGTCAGAGTAACCAGCTCTTGTTGAGGAAGGAAGAATCCTTTTGCCTGCAGCAGCAGCAACCTCACCAGTAACCTTGGAAGCCCTTTGCCTTCTGGCAACAATCAACAACTGACTTCCTCATACAATTAAAAGCACCAACTCTATTTAACCTTTCCAACAAAATTCAAAAGTTACAGAAGGTAACAGATAGCATTCATCAATGCAAGAGGACAGACAATTATAATGAGAACCACAAAGAACAGTAATTTAAACACCTGAGAATGCTGAAAGACTACCAGAGAATTCACACTCATCTGAGTGCAGGAAGAAGGATTCTTCAACAATTTGTGGGGGGTTTTGCCATCAAGTCACAGCCGACCTATGGCAACCCTGTAGGGTTTTCAAGGCAAGAGATGACCAGAGGTGGTACTGCCATTGCCTGTCTCGGGAGTCACAG